TGATAAATCATTAGATACTTAGGTGTCTGAGCTTAAATTTATTGTTCATGTTAATTAAATGAGATTAATTAATCACTAATATCTCCAAGGTTTTGAAAATATTCCATAAAACTGATACACTCACCAATGTAAATTTTATGTAATGTTAAATACTATTTTGCAGGCTTGACATTATAGTCTAACTATTTGCTTTCTCCATTGACAGAGCTGATGTCTTGCAGTCCAGGGAGCTGCAGTAGCCAGCCAATGACAACCAGCATCACAGAAGACCGAATGTAGACAAGTGCATGGTGTTACCATAGAAACTGAATACCAAAAAATGGACATAAATCATCATGTGATGCTACTAAGTCTTCTGAGCTTAGGGACACTTGCAAAAATAACATTGAAACATGATTTCATTGGATCACAATTTGAGATTAAGAAAATGTGTATTTCTTTTATACTGCTACATTTAGTTTCTCTACTGAACATGTAACTCCACACTATTTGCATTCCATAGTGTCATTTCAGCTATTTCTAGTGTGAATCAATCCAAGATTTTTTTCTTGATCTACATGAAAATAAAATTAAATCAGCACTAGATGTGGGAAAAAATTGTTGCTTTATAAATTTATGTTTTCCCACTAGTATTGAGCAAATAGATGCTGCCCTGCGTTTAACGTGTAGACTAATGAGATGTATCTCACCACCTGTGAAATACAAGGACTTAATTAACAAATTTAAAAGACTTGTTTTGTGTGTGTGTGTGTTTAAGCTTGGAAATCTCAGGAACTGCCATTTGCAATTCTGTTCTGAGAGTTATTTTACTGTACATTAGTAAGAGGTACATTGTGCATATGAAATGAATGTTTTATCAAATATTTTTCTCTCCAAAGAGAAAACTTCACAGAAAGCTAGTTTTAAAAAAGATAATACATATTATTGGTTTATAGTTTTTTTTCTGAAATGTTAATGTACTATTGGGTCTTGATTCATGGATAAATTGGCGCGAGACATGACAAGAGTAAGTCATCTGTCTCTAGGTAGAACATGTAACTACATTTATGCAGGGAGATCAGGGTGCTAAGAAATGTAAACTTACATTTGTCTATTTATCTAGTTAGTAATGTACTCTATGTACATATATTCTTGGTGTGATTTTATTCTAGCTTCACTTTCACATCTCTAATATTCATGTTCCTTCACAGAAATTTGAATTTATTTATTTTATTCGCGATGTTTTCATTTTAAAGTGTTCTGAACAAGTTTTATGGGTTATGTACAGGCTTATATGAGATTGTGTATTTTTGGTTGTCAAGTTAAAAAACCAAGCTAATAATCAAATTCACACATTTCTGTTATTTTACTAGGTATAATATTTGCAAACATTGCATTTACACAGGGAGCATGTGCAATGGCGTGAAGTTTTCAATGCACCAAATTTTTAAGCTCTCCGTTGTCTGTTTTTAAAAAAATCTCTTCATTGCATTAAGTCATTGTTTTCCACATTGGAAAAAAAGTATGCGCTTGCTTGCATCAAACTCAGATCATTTTATTACTAGAAATTGCAATGAATTTTACTCATTTTAACCAGTTAAATTATTTTATTTTTTACATCTGTCAAAGTTGCCACTTTGTGTAGGCATTGGGTTACTGAAGTTACTGTATCTTAACTTTGTATTTTGGCAGGTTTTCAGATCACTACCATATCTTTACTGTCTTTCATTAGCTTTCTTTGCATAATGAGTTAAATTGGAATAAAAAAAATATTTAGCAAATAGCGTCTTTTGTCCTTTTATTTTATCCAAGGTTGTACAATATATCTCACCATCAGTCCTTGTCTAGAACAACTATTTGTACTCATTTAACTTTTAGATATCATGTACTACTGTATATTTATTTGCAAATGGTCACACGACCAGCAATTATTTACACTTGTGCTAAATAAAATGATAAATTATATAAGTATTTTGTTAGTTCTTTTATTTTAGTTAATTGCTTCTATGATTACACTCTGTCAAATGGTAGTAATGTTTAAATTTATTCATACATGTGCAGGAACCACTCACCCTGAAAAGTCAGTGATGATCAAAAGTAGATACTATTTAGAGCCTTATTACATTAGCATGCAGGAATAGCCAGAGCTAGTAATTAACATGTTACTTCCTGAGTAGAGCATAAATGTGTACCAGAAAATTATATTTTTAAATAATCCTGATAGTGTGCAGTATGTGCATCTAGATATCCATTTGCAACAACTGCCCAACATGTCTTTCTCTTTACAACCAGTTGGCGCATACTGACTGTACATGGATAAGTAACTTGTAGTTGGAACAATATAATTCAGGACTATGATTTGCTTTAAAAAAAAGACATTGGCACTATTGATGTTGCATATTGTATTAATGCAAATTTTTTTTTAGAAACTAGGTAAAAGTCATGATTGTTAGAACAAAGATGAAAATAAATTCTGTCATTAAGGGGAAAAGACAAGCATTACTAGTTTGTTTTTAAAAAAATCTGCCAATAGTTTTAATTTTATTTTAATTCTGACTGAATTAAGATTATAATCCTCAAGATGAATATGACTAAGCAAACTTATCAATGTGAAGGAAGACAAATAAGTTAAATGCAGACAATTTAACTAGCAAAAAAATGTTTATTTATATAACTCCAACAATGAGGCTAAAACAAAGCCAGTGAATTTTTTTTTAATCTTTTTTTTTTTATAATAAAAATAATAATTTAAAAAAACGTAGAACATATATAAAAAATTAAATTTGATAGAATTTCTTCAGAATGAATTTACAAAAAAATAAAGAATAAAAATGAACAGATGAAAATAAAAAATAATAATAATCATGTTTTTGTCAAAACAAACACTTTGAAAAGGGTAGCAAAAATGTTTAAGTGTCATGCAAATATTCATTTTATTTTACAGATTTAAAAGTGTATCAAAATGTATCACATTCCCTGCAGTATTCCGTGGAAGAAAAATGGTTTGAAATGGTCTTGAACTTTCACAACCTTAAGAATAATTATATTATTGGTCCCCTTCAATCTTTCAAAGCACTATATTTTGTCAATAATGACTTTAAGATTTCATGAAATTAATTAAATTTATTTGAAATATTCCTTCAAAGCTCCACACATTGGGGACGCTGATGTTTTTTAATGGCACAAGGAAAAGGAAAGAAAGTTACATTCAATATATTATAAATATTTTTATTTGTTTTCCTCACAATCCTTAAACCTCGATTTCTAATTAACTGCTTTCTTCCCATCCACATTAAATAATTATATTTGTATTTTACTTCATGTGCAAATTCATTTGAGGTTAAAAAAGTACATCCTATCAGTGCAAGAAAATAGAAATGTCAATTCAAAAGCCGTTCTGATATTTAGAGTTATCCTATCTGATAAGTGGGAAGATTTTAAAAGTTCTAAATTGAATACTTGCATTTAATAATGACCAGTGAATTTTATTAGCACTTCTCTGCCCCTAAAAATGTATCCAAGCTGAAAACTTTTAATTGATTATCCCACCTGAGACTTCAGCCTTTTCTTGCCTTAACAACATGGGTTGTAATGATAAATAGGGAATTCAATTAATTTCTTTCTCTACATGCAATAAATATAGTCTATATTTAATGTAAAATAAGTAAATATAATAAGCCATGTTTCTATCATCTTTAGTTTAAGGAATAAAACTATTTGTAAATGTGCCATATAAGAAAATCTAACACATCATTGATACAAAAGGTTAATCATGACTGTCTAATCTAAGTTCAGGATTTCAATTATTTTACAGGCTATTTTTGTTTAAAGTTTAAAAATGGCACCCAACATTAAAATATTTATTTAAGAGATTTTACCAAATGGATTTTTTTTAAAAATTTGATAAGGGATTTTATGAAGACACATAAACAACCAATGACCTTTTACTTAACTTGGTCTCTTATTCATCATATTCATAGAGATGTTCACATGTTCCATGCTATCTTGACCAGCATTTTGAACAGCATCGTAGGACCCCGACTGCCAGTTCTTTCTGTACCACCAAATAATGGCCCCTACCGATGCTAACAAGACTCCAACAATAGTAAGGACGGTAATCAGACTGTTTATAGGTGACATCTCCTTGTAGTCCTCTCCCTTGCCTGGTTCTAAATGGGCTGCCACAACTGAATCGAGACTTTGATTAAAGATTTCATTATCAAACAAGGCATCAGTGGCATTGTTTGAGCTATTTCTAAAATTGATAAAAGTAACAGTTTCAGTTGCATTGGTTGAGTTAGGAGCAGAGTAAAGATCAGATTCTTTTGCAGTAACCATACTGGATGCAGCTGAGTAAAACAAACTACCATTAGTTGGAATGGCTTGTGTTGCATCATCTAGTTTAGGTTCAAATTTTCCCGCTGGAGTAATCTTTGGTTGCTCAACTTGTTTATCTTCTTGGTTATCTCTGATTTCTTTATTTAAATTTGGTTCCTCCGCAGCTTTTCCATCTATATCAACATTATCTGGTTGTATTTTGGATTTTATTTCCTGGTGCATGTTTTTCTTATCATAAATTTCATTAGCATTATCATTTTTGACCAGAGGTGAGGTCACATTTTTTTGATGATTTTGATTGTGTGATATTGAAACGTTTTGTGTATCTTCCATTTTAAGTGGTTTAAATGGTTGCTTATCATCAGGCCCAGTGCTATTTACCTCATCAGAATTTGAATATTGTTTCTTTGTAGAACTTGCCCTTTGTTTTTCATTAGAATTTAATCCTTTTTTGTTTTCAGCAAAGATAATTTGAGTGTCATTAGATTCTGGACCCTTATTTGTATCAGATTCTAAATGTTTCTTCAGTGAATTAGTCCCTTGTTCTTTGTTAGATTGAGGACCCTGAGCATCTGAGTCAGCTTTTTGTTTTTTCTCAGAATGAGCTCCTTGTTCATTAGATCCTAGGCTTTTTACAGCATCTAATTCTGCACTTTTTTTCTTTTCAGAATTAGTTTCTTTTTCTCTGTTAGGTTCTGGGCCTTTTGTTGATTTAATATTTTGTTTTTCCTCAGAATTAATGTCCTGTTCATTAGAGCCAAGGCTTTTTAGAGCATCTGATTCAGCATTTTGTTTATTCTCTAAATTAGTTCCTTGATCATTAGATTCAAAGCCTTTTACATCAACTGATTCAGCATTATGTTTCTTCCCAGAATTAGTTTCTAGCTCTTCATTAGATCCAGAGACTTTTGTTGCATTTAAATCAGAATTTTGTTTCTCCTCAGAAATAGTCAATTTTTCTCTGTTAAATCCAGGGCTTTTTTTTAATACAAATACAACACTTTGATCTCTATCATTTTTAGTACCCTTTGCAGCATCTGATTCAGCATTTTTCTTCTTCTCAGAATTAATGGCCTGTTTTTCATGAGATCCAAGTCCCTTTGTAGCATCTGAATCATTTTGTTTCTTCTCAGAATTAATGCCCTGTTCTTCAGAAGATCCAAGTCCCTTTGTAGCATCTAATTCATTTTGTTTCTTCTCAGAATTAATGGTCTGTTTTTCATGAGATCCAAGTCCCTTTGTAGCATCTGATTCATTTTGTTTCTTCTCAGAATTAATGGCCTGTTTTTCATGAGATCCAGGTCCTTTTGTAGCATCTGATTCATTTTGTTTCTTCCCAGAATTAATGCCCTGCTCTTCATGAGATCCAAGGCCCTTTGTAGCATCTGAATCATTTTGTTTCTTCCCAGAATTAATGCCCTGTTCATCAGAAGATCCAAGTCCCTTTGTAGCATCTGATTCATTTTGTTTCTTCTCAGAATTAATGCCCTGCTCTTCATGAGATCCAAGTCCTTTTGTAGCATCTGATTCATTTTGTTTCTTCTCAGAATTAATGCCCTGTTCTTCAGAAGATCCAAGTCCCTTTGTAGCATCTGAATCATCTTGTTTCTTCTCAGAATTAATGGCCTGTTTTTCATGAGATCCAAGGCCCTTTGAAGCATCTGATTCATGTTGTTTCTTCTCAGAATTAATGTCCTGTTCTTCGGAAGATCCAATTCCCTTTGTAGCATCTGATTCATTTTGTTTCTTCTTATAATTAATGGCCTGCTCTTCATGAGATCCAAGTCCCTTTGTAGCATCTGATTCATTTTGTTTCTTCTCAGAATTAATGCCCTGCTCTTCATGAGATCCAGGTCCTTTTGTAGCATCTGAATCATTTTGTTTCTTCTCAGAATTAATGGCCTGTTTTTCATGAGATCCAGGTCCTTTTGTAGCATCTGATTCATTTTGTTTCTTCTCAGAATTAATGGCCTGCTCTTCATGAGATCCAGGTCCTTTTGTAGCATCTGATTCATGTTGTTTCTTCTCAGAATTAATGCCCTGTTCTTCGGAAGATCCAATTCCCTTTGTAGCATCTGATTCATTTTGTTTCTTCTTATAATTAATGGCCTGCTCTTCATGAGATCCAAGTCCCTTTGTAGCATCTGATTCATTTTGTTTCTTCTCAGAATTAATGCCTTGCTCTTCATGAGATCCAGGTCCTTTTGTAGCATCTGAATCATTTTGTATCTTCTCAGAATTAATGGCCTGTTTTTCATGAGATCCAAGGCCCTTTGTAGCATCTGATTCATTTTGTTTCTTCTCAGAATTAATGCCCTGTTCTTCATGAGATCCAGGTCCCTTTGTAGCATCTGATTCATTTTGTTTCTTCTCAGAATTAATGCCCTGTTCTTCATGAGATCCAGGTCCCTTTGTAGGATCTGATTCATTTCCTTCCTTTGCATGAGTTTGCATATGGACTTGATTATTTAGATTAGCTTGTTCAATGCTCTTATCTTTTTGGTTTTTAACATTTTGAGCATCATCAAAATTAGTTAATAATTTCTGACCCCAAATGATGGGTCTCACAATTTCTGACTGATCACCTTTCAAAACTAAGATAGGTTTCTTATTGACTTCTTTTGACTGTTCTATAGTTGTAGGAGGTGTTGTCTCAAGAATTTCGGTGGAAGTTGAAAATATTGTCTTGGTCACAGAAGAGCAACCTGTAAATTCACCAATATCAATACCAGCGTAAGATTGAGGTTCACTGCATATGCCCTTAATCTCAATATGAAGTTCACAAATGAGCAACTCTTTAAGAGAGCAATCACAACTGATCGGGTTATCATCAAGCAGCAAGGTCCTCAGTGTTTTTGTGCCACAAAGCTTTTTCCCGGGTACAGTGTTAATTCTGTTGACCGACAGATTTAGTTCTATTACACCTGTGCCTATGACCTCCATTGGAAAATGGCAAAAATAGTTATCAGCCAAGTTGAGTTCAACTAACAAGGGGGATGTGATGAACATTGTGGGTTTTAGGGCCGAAATATAGTTATTTTTTAAGTTGAGTATCTTCAGCTGTGGTAGATGCAGGAAGTTACCATCCTCAATAGTCTCAATGTGGTTAAAACTAAAATCAATCACCTCGACTAAACTCAGATTAGAAATTGCATCATGTTCCAGAGTTTTCAATTGATTGTGTCTTATGATGAGTTGTTGCAAACTGTCTTTGACTGGTTCTAGGAAAAAACTTGGTAGCTTGCTCAACTTGGAAAAAAAGATATTAAAAATGTAGGCAGTTTGTTGATGTTAGAATAACCCACAATCATCTGCATTGGTTTATTACATACCAGTATAGTAAAACCACTTATTACTATATCCTGCAAACAAAATTATATGGGGTTTTCAAATACTGGTATGTAATAAAATAATGTTTTCAAAAAATATTTTTGAAATTGTTTCAAAATTACAGAATGCAGATGAGTGGTTCATCATCAGGGGCATTTTAAATGATATAAAGTTTTCAAATCAATCTTCAAAACAAAAATCACAGAGGTACATTAAATTTTTAGCTTCAATCAAAATAAAATTAATTACCTTGTTGTTTGACAAAACCAAATGTCTTAGTGACTTGAGATTACTGAAATCCTTTGGATCTATTACTGTTAACTCATCATCACTTAGGTTAAGAGTCTCCAAGGCAGTAGCATTAGATAACCATTGACTTGGGATTCTAAGTAAACTGCAGTGAACAACTTCCAGTTCCTGTCAAAACATCAATATGATGTCAAAATAATATTCCATTGAAATATTCCTATCAAACACTTTGGTTAATCCAGAAATCTAAATAAAATGTCTAATCAAAAGTTCACTTATAGTTAAGCTTGAATTGTGTTTTATTTAGCCTTTTACAAGCTTTTAGTTTAATCAGAATTTTCAGAAGCTCACCTTAAGCAAGGGCACGTTGTATAAGTTTAGTTCAGCCACTTGGCTGATCTCACGCAGTTTCAGTATCTCCAAGAATTCTAGCTCTTCTAGAAGGTCAGGATCTAGTTTACTCACTCTAAGGATTTCTAGGTCCTGCACAGAACATTTGTAAGCTGTTTAAAAATTAAATCTAACAAAATTAAATAATAATGGGATATCAGATATCTGTTTTGCAAATAAATATAGGTTGTCAGTTTTTAAAAAACAGTCATCTAATTTTATTTTATTTTTCTATTCAAAAGTATAAAACATTGTAGTTAGTAGCAAATGTTATTAATTGCAACACAAAAAGAATAACTAAAAATCTGAAGTTACAGTTGCAAAAATCCATTTTTGATTTATAAAAATGTCCAGTCTTCAATGCTCTGTAATTTCAATGACTTAATAATTTCTATTCCTTTTCTAAATCAGAATCCATCATAGAATATAGTGCAAAGTTCATATTTTTATAAACAACACAAAACAAGAATTTCTCTCACAAACAATGAAAGCAGATAGGGCCAATTTGTGAAAGAAATTCGCTTGAGTAGAATGCTGTTAAATATGGCCCCTAAAACGAGAATTGAACTACATACTGTGAAAAACCAATAAAAACCAAGATCAGCTTGCAAAACAAAACAAAAAATTAACATCACTATATATTTATATTTAAAATCAGTATCTGGTTTATTCAGTCAAGACAAATAAAATTCACTGGCACAGGTTTTTTTTTTAAAATTCTAAGCCCCATTTAGCTATGAGAATATGAAAGATAACATAGGCCTTTGTGTATTTAGTTTGAAAAGTAGGCTTACCTTAAGGTTTATAAGCTTGCTATCATTACTCAACTTAAACTCTGATAAACTAGGGGCATCCAAACTCAGAAATTCTAGGGCTTTAAGTTCATTTAGAAGTCTGGCTGGCATGTCTTTCACCTTTAGATCACATATAGATAGGAATAATATTTAAAACCTGATAAAAAGAATATTTAAAACCTAACTTTTTTCAAACCTGATGTAATTTATAATTCAAATAAAATTGAATCTATGCTCAGTAAGAATTTTCATATTACTTTTAACTTTTTAAAAATTGAAGCAGATACTTTTCCTGAGTACTTACTCTTGGTAAAATCAGTTTCAAGATTTTCAGTGAATTACCATTATCAAAATGGAAAATTTCCTCATTTGGGATCATCATCTTCTCAAGAGAGAGATGTAGCCTCTTCAGCCCACTTAAATAAGTGAAGACATTTGGCTGCATTGTTATACCATAAAAGGTGAGATTGAGAATTTCAAGATTAAAAAAACCCTTGAAAGTATCAGATTGTAGCTTCTCTACTTCAAGTCCAATAATCATTTTAATTTTATCCAGCCCTTGGAGGGTTTTTGAGCTCAGTGATTTTAATTTATTTCCAGTTAGATCCAATGCAACAAGTTTCCAACAACCTAATAGAGTGAAAACAATTACTTTCTGTTAACTTATTAAATATATTAAATTTGTTTATATATATATGTATAGGCCTATTTGTTAGTTAAAGAATTGAAAAATCATTGAAGAATTAACTATTTTCTATGCAAAAAATAATAAAATGGTTTATTTATTTGAAATTCTTGACATTGTCTAAAATGGTTTACCCAGTAGTAGCATGCTGGTGTAATGAAATACCCTCTCTTACATGAAAAATAATACATAAGACTAAAAAAAGTTATAATATAGGCTTACCATCAAATAACAGTAATAAAACTAACCTGAAATTAAAGAGTATTTTATGTACTCTGTTTGATGCTTAAACTTAAACTTAGATATGTATAATTGAGCCCACCTGAAAATATTGGGGACATTTCCGTAATTCCATTCCATGCAAAAGATACTTGGCTCATATTTGTATATATTTTGCACATATCCTGGCCAGTGACATTTTGAAAAGTTATTTGATTCCAAGAAAGATCAAGCTCACTTATGTTCCTTGGAAGATCTAGTGGAATAGCCTTTATATTTGAACACTGAGCAATTGTTTGGTACAAAGAATTATTTGTGCACGTGCAGTTTTCTCCACATGGAAAGCTACCAACAAGTGAATGTGCCAAGTGCACAGTATTAAAACTGAGAAGTCCAATACAGCAGTACACAATTTTGATGAAGAGTTGCATCTTTAAGGATTTTTTTTTCCGTTCCAATATCCTAAAAATAACAAAATTAATAGTGTAATATTATTCGCTTTATGCAAATTTTTTTTTAAAATCACGTTCATAAAAAATATTTCAGTAGTGTTAGTGTTAAGTTTTAAATTAAAATTAATGCATTACATAATATAACTTAAAGTAAGTAATATGATTAATTCTCATACTAAAATTATGTTTTACAGCAATTAGAAATGAAATTAGTTCATAACTGGATAACTCTAGCAAGGCTCAAACTTTTAAAACAAAGGTTACTTTTATAAGTTCATTTTGCATGTTTAAAACTACTCATATAGGGGCCTACATTAATTTCAATGTTTAAAAATAATAACTTGCTTTAATACACCACTGCATTGATGAGATTTTATAAAGTTTATTTTTTTCGCTAAAACTTGATAAGATTACTTGTCACATGGTCATGACTACACCCAGTCCCTTGAAAAACTTATTGAACTCATTATTTTACTCAATTTGGGATTGGATAGCTAAACGTGTTTTTAAGTACAGTAACATCTAGATAAACGCTTTTGTTAAAATGTTGAGTCCTAAAATAAATGTTATAATTAAAAATGTGTTATCTTTCAGTATGTTTAGGCCCAAATTCAAATTAAGTTATCAACTAACTTTCTACCGGATGCGTGCTTTGAAGCAGGGCTGCCACTCACTTTTTTAGAATTTCCCAAGATTTGGTCATGAAATTTCCCAAGATTTCCCAAGATCATAAAAGTATATAGGAGTTTTTTAAAAAAGGTGTGGGGGGGGGGTCCTATGTCCTTAATGTAATAATAGATTGAATTAATGCCCCTGAAAATCATGGTACAATAATTGACTGAAATTTATTGAAAAGGACATTTTAAAAAATGTTTATCACATAAAAGAAATAAACAATTTGTTTTCAAAATAAATAATTTATATTATCTTATTATCCAAAATATCAATACCCCCTGGAGTTAGGCTACTATGTTACCTCCAAATTCTCTGGTAAAAATATCATCTACAAGTGTAATAGAAGTCACTTGGAAACAAAGCTCACAATGCTAATCAACACACAATTCCTTTTACAAAGCCAAAATGTGTTTTCTTATTGTAAGTCTGTTGATTAGAAATTGGGTTTGCAAAGCTATTAAGTAAGCAAAATTTGTTAATAATAATTGTAATTAAAATGGATTTATTGTATTATGAAAGCAATAAGTATTTTAATTTTTTTCTCATAAATTTACATTGTAATGATTTTTTCAAACGAAATACTGTTTAAAGGAATTTTTCATTTATTTCCTACAACATATAGATCTAATTTTAATATCTTAGTTTCCTGTGTGTCAATCCACAAATATTTTTTCCATGAAAATTAGGCATTTTTTGTATGGTTGCTAATGTCCTATATGCATGATAAAGTTTCCGAGCCTACCGCCGCGCACCCCCTCCCCCCTCCCCCCCCCCTGTTTAATAAACATTTAACACCTGGATGTAATTTGCAAATCTTCAACTAAAAAAAAAGAGAGAATTAATTTTTTCTTTAATTATTAACTTGTTATTAATTTACAATATTAACTTTAATTTCAGAAGAGTTTTTATTTATTTATAAATGGTTTTAAAAATTAAAACCAGAAAAGAAAATTTAAAAAAAAATAATTTTTTCCTTGTTACTTTAAAAATTAGTTTGCTTTATTTCCACTTTATTTTTTTATCACGTATATTTTGTTATGCATTTTTCGAAAAATATCATAAGATTTTCATCCCAGTTAAGATTTCCCAAGGTTTTGCCTGATTTTCAAAATTATTCCCCAGATCCCAAGGGGGGTCGTGAATTCCCAAGATCTTGGGAAATTTCCCAAGGTGTGGTAGCCCTATAAAAGTTAAAAAAAAAAAAAAAGAAATTGTTGACAAGCGAGAAGCAACCCATCCAGTGCTCTGCTTATCAAACTTACATTTATATCGCAACATATTGTCTGCAGGACAATACAAATTTTGTTATTTTGATTATATATCATGCGTGGCTAAAATATTTATTGTCCTTATATCTGTTTTAAAAAAAATAAATCTTTGACAAATGTTTTAATTTTGAACATCAGATTGAGTACGACGCCTATGGCCAAGTTATTGACCCATCAGCCCTCGACGCTAACGCCCCTGCCGACACTGAGTTCAACGAAGACGTCATTCAGCCCTACTCTGACCCATCTCCCTACGGCAAGGGGTATCAGGACCGTGGCCAGCCAGATCCAGCGGGAGACTATTCTCAACCTGCTCCAGATCATCTTCAGCCTTTCCAAGAATGGTACAGGGGCTACAATCCTACTGTGCAGCAAGGGGAACAGCCTACGTTTTCGTGGCAGGTAACTTCACATCGCCGATGTAAGAATAGTCTAGCTGTTATTGATTCTTTTATAGAGTTCGAAGCGCAAATTTTACATACAACCTTGAAACATTAATATTAGAAATACTAATTGAGATATACTGAGAAAGACTCATCTTAACTCATGTGCTTAGGTGTAGGACTTTTTATAAGCAGGAATTATACGGGCATGACTTCTGTGTATGACTTAAATCTGTATTACTTACATGACTTGGGCTTAAATAAATTTGACTTATAATATTGGGACTAATAAGAATGGGACATAAATGTGTGACACGGTTCTATGGTTATCTGATACCATTCTCAAACTGTTTTGCCAGCCCTGACAAGCTGCTCTCCAGTCCTTTAGCGTGCTCTGTTCAGCACCTCTATCATTCTTTAACTTACTCTGACCAGTCAGTTTTTACATTGAAAGCTTCCCTTGAAAAGCATTTGTACGACCAAACCCTGCACGTCTGCCCGGACACTTCATGTAGAGGCGTAACTAATAGAATAGCAGCGGAAAATAAGTGCCACCTTTATTGTGAAGAAGAAAAAGATACCTTGAGGCAACAAAGGTCTTCATTGAAGTTAATGCTGTAGGTGATTGTTTATACTTATTGTCTCTTTAACCTCTGTGTGCCTGACAGAGATGATATAAAAAAATAGAATTGAAAGTTTGAAAAAATCAAGCAAACTTTTTGATGACTAACGTTGCGTGTTTCTACCACCTCAGGCCCAACAGAAAGCACCAAAGGTCCCTAACTACCTGATACTCAGCATTGTCGCTTGTTTCTTTTGCATACCCGTTGGAGGAATAGCCCTGGGCTACGTCATCAACGTAAGTACAGCATGCATAATTTGCCCCCCATCACACCCCCCGCCCCCCCCAAAAAAAAAAAAAAAAAAAAAAAAAAAAAAACAACAACCCCAGCATAGAACGTGATGTATGAGGAGGGCAAGCATTACCCACAACAATCATACACATGAGCAACTATGATAAGTGTTTGTAACATTGCTAACACCAGTTGTTATAACTTTGTTTGGCTTTGTTTAAATCCATGTTTAAGTTCTTATTAATCAGATGAAAGGGTTTGGTGGAGTTGGGGTGGAGACATTTGCGTGGCAAGGGTAGTGCCACCCAGGGTGGGCCAAGGGTAGTGCCACCCAGGGTGGGCCAAGGGTAGTGCCACCCAGGGTGGGCCAAGGATAGTGCCAGCCGGGGTGGGCCAAGGGTAGTGCCACCCGGGGTGGGCCAAGGGTAGTGCCACCCAGGGTGGGCCAAGGGTAGTGCCACCCAGGGTGAGCCAACGGTAGTGCCAGCCGGGGTGGGCCAAGGGTAGTGCCAGCCGGGGTGGGCCAAGGGTAGTGCCACCCGGGGTGGGCCAAGGGTAGTGCCACCCGGGGTGGGCCAAGGGTAGTGCCACCCGGGGTGGGCCAAGGATATTGCCAGCCGGGGTGGGCCAAGGGTAGTGCCACCCGGGGTGGGCAAAGGGTAGTGCCACCCGGGGTGGGCCAAGGGTATGGCCAGCCGGGGTGGGCCAAGGGTAGTGCAGGTGGGGTGGGCCAAGGGTAGTGCCAGGCGGGGTGGGCCAAGGGTAGTGCCACCCGGGTTGGGCCAAGGGTAGTGCCAGCCGGGATGGGCCAAGGGTAGTGCCACCCAGGGTGGGCCAAGGGTAGTGCCACCCGGGGTGGGCCAAGATTAATGAAAGATACGCTACAGTTGGCCGAAAATGCCAAATCTGCTGTCGAAAATGCCAAATCTGCGGCTGAAACTGCCAATTCTGCGGCCGAAAATGCCAAATCTGCGGCCGAAAATGCAAAATCTGAGGCTTAAAATGCCAAATCTGAGGCCGAAAATGACAAATCTGAGGCCGAAAATGCCGAATCTGCGGCCGAAAATGCCAAATCTGCGGTCGAAAATGTCAAATCTGAGGCCGAAAATGCCAAATCTGAGGCCGAAAATGCTAAATCTGCGACCGAAACTGCCAAATCTGCGGCCGAAAATGCCAAATCTGCGGCCGAAAATGCCAAATCTGCGGCCGAAAATTCCGCCCCTTCATATCAAGGGAAAAGTGCTGAGAGGAAGGGACGCCGCCCCCCCCCCCCACTCCAAATCCCTTTACTACCCAATAGCATGGAAATATTTAAATAATGGATTAGCTGAGGTTAGTGTTCGGGTGTACTTAGGGAGGACTTAGTCCTATACATATAGGGGAATTTAATCGTGTGCACTTAGGGAGGACTTGGTCCTATACACTTAGGTAGGACTTGGTCCTATACACTTAGGGAGGACTTAGTGCTATACACATAAGAAGACTTAATCGTATACACTGAAGAAGGACTTAGTCCTATACATATAGGGGGACTTAGTCGTATGCACTGAGGGAGGTGTTAGTCCTATACACTTAGGATGGACTTGTTCCTATACACTTAGGGAGACTTGGTCCTATACACTTAGGGAGGACTTATTCCTACACACTTAGGGAGGACTTGGTCCTACACACTTAGGGAGGACTTGGTCCTATACACTTAGGACGACTTGGTCCTATACATCTAGGGAGGACTTAGTCCTATATTGACTAACACGTCATCTCAAAATAGCCTTCTCTCACTCTCCATGTGAAACCATTGGCTGTCGGCAATGGGGGCAGCTGAAGTCAAAACACATTCCTTGGATCTAAGATGTCTTACAGGAGGCGCGAGGTCACATGATGCGCCCCAATAAACAGTCGGATGCAAAGACAAACACTTCCTGGTTGGTAAGACTTAACGCTCCGACGGTCGCTGAGAGCAAAAGTTACAATTTGAGACTAGGAATCAGGTTCGAAGATAATCATTGGAGCGATCATTTCTTTGGCCCGGGATGAAACAAACCTTAAAAAGATCAGAACATAAAATGTCACTGAATGAATGTGAAAATAGAACCTTTTAACCACTAGGAATACGAACAATAAAGGAATGCCCCCCCCCCCCTTTTTTGGAATCAATGTTCCGGAAGCAATATCAGAGTTTGAGTTGATCCCAAATAGAACTACTTTTGACACTACTAAAAAAATATTTTTTTTATATAACTCAGAAATCTTGAAGCAATGCTTAATTTAGTTTTTCACATCGGCCCACCATTTGACCAGAAAAATGCTTAATTGGTAGATATCATGTGTACACAATTTGACCACAAAAAAAAAGCTTGATGACAGATATCATGTGTACAACATTTTACCACAAAATAAGCTTGATCGTAGATATCATGTGTGCAC